AAAACATGGTTTTATTTATTTTAAAATTTTTATTAATTTTTAGAGAGAGAAGAAGGGAGAGAGAGAGAGAGTGAGAGAGAAACATTGATGTGAGTGAAACATTGATCCTTCAATTAGCTGCTTTCTGCATGTCCTCCCCTGGAGATCAAGCCCATAACCCAGGCATCTGCCCTGACTAGGAATAAAACTGGCAACTTTTCAGTGCACAGGATAATGTTACAATCAATTGGGCCATACTGGCCAGGGCAAAAAATAAAACAAGACAGGGATGCCTACTTTCACCACTCTTTTTTAACATAGCACTGGAAGTCTTAGCCATAGCAATTAGACATGAAGAAAACAAAAGGGATACAAATTGGAAAGGAGAAAGTGAAACTGTCATTATTTGCAGATGACATGATATTGTACATAGAAAACCCCAAAGACTCCATCAATAAATCTACTATACTTATTTAAAAAATTTGGCAAAGTAGCAGGATACAAAATTAATGTCAGGAAATCAATGGCATTTTTATACACCAATGATGAAATCACAGAAAGACAATCCTATTTATCATTGCAGCAAAAAAAAAAAATATATATATATATATATATATATATATATATATATATATATATATATATATATATATATGATACCTAGGAATAAACTTAACCAAAGAAGTAAAGGACCTCTTCACAGAAAACTATAGGTCATTGAAACAAGAAATAGAGGAAGATATAAAAAAGTGGGAGTATATACCTTGTTCATGGATTGGAAAAATTGACATAATTAAAATGTCCATACTACCCAAAGCAATCTATAGATTCAATGCAATCCCCATCAAAATACCAACAACATACTTCACAGAACTAGAACAAACACTTCAAAAGTTTATATGGAACCAAATAGCCACAGCAATCTTGAAAAAGAAGAACAAAGTAGGAAGGATCACATTATCAGATTTCAGGTTATACTACAAAGCCACTGTAATCAAAACAGCCTGGTACTGGCACAAGAACAGGCATATGGACCAGTGGAACAGAACAGAGAACCCAGAAATGGACCCAAGGCAATATGCTCAATTAATATTGACAAAGGTGGCAAGAGCATACAGTGGAGTCAAGACAGTCTCTTCAATAAATGGTTTTGGGAAAATTAGCTACTTGCAGAAAAATGAAGCTAGAACACCAACTTACACCATACACGAGAATAAACTCATAATGGATAAAAAACTTAAATGTAACTCGTGAATCCGTAAAAATTCTAGAAGAAAATGTAGGCAACAAAAATTTTGGACATCATACGCAGCAGAATTTTCACTGATACAACACCTAAGGCAAGAGAAACAAAGGGAAAAATGAACACATGGGACTACATCAAACTCAAAAGCTTCTGCACAGCAAAAGATACAATCATCAAAATGGAAAGGGATCCCACTATATGGGAGACCATAATCACCAATGATACATCAGATACGGGGTTAATTTCCAATATATATAGAGTGCTCATACAACTCAACAAAAGGAAGATAAAGAACCCAATTAAAAAATGGGCAGAGAAACTAAATAGACACCTCTCCAAACAGGACATACAAATGGCCAAGAGACATATAAAAAAATGCTCAACATCACTAATCATCAGAGAGGTGCAAATTAAAACAACAATGAGGTATCATTTCACACCTGTCAGAATGGCCGCCATCAACAAGTCATCAAACAACACGTGCTGGTGAGGGTGTGGAGAAAAGGGGACTCTAGTACACTGCTGGTGGGAATGAATGCAGACCGGTGCAATCACTGTGGAAAACACTATGATGTTACCTCAAAAAATTAAAAATTGAATTGCCATTTGACCCAGTGATCCCACTTCTAGGAATATACCCTAAGAAACTTGAAACACCAATCAGAAAGAATATATGTACCCCTATGTTCATAGCAACACTATTTACAATAGCTAAGATCTGCAAACAATCCAAGTGTCCATTAGTAGATGAATGGATTAAAAAGCTGTGGTACATGTACACAATGGAGTACTATGCAGCGGTAAGAAAGAAAGATCTCTTATCCTTTGAGATGGCATGGAAGGACCTGGAGAGTATTATACTAAGCGAAACAAGCCAAGCAGAGAAAGACAAATATCACATGATCTCACTTATTTGTGGAATATAATGAACTAAACAAACTGCTGAACAAAATTAACCCAGAGACATAGAGGTGGGGTATAGACTGACAAGCCTCAGAGGAGGTGGGGTTTGTGGGGGAAGAGAAAAAACCACAGAACTTACATGCATGTATGCATGACCAATGAACATAGAAAACTAAGCTGGGGATGGGATCAGGAGGGGTGGGGAGGAGGGTGTCAATGGGGGAAAAATGAGAAACATCTGTAACAAAAACAAATTAATAAAAAAATTAATAAATAAGTTGGCTTGATGAAAGGGAATTATTTCTTTAAAAATTTTTTTTTCTTGCCCTGGCCGGTTTGGCTCAGCGGTTAGCGTGTCGGCCTGCGGTCCTGAGAGACCCGGGTTCGGTTCCCGCTAAGGGCATGTACCTCGGTTGCAGTTTGTCCCCGGCCCTGGTCGGTTGTGCGGGTGGCAGCCACTCGATGTGTTCCTTTCACGTCGATGTTTCTCTCTCTCTCTCTGTTCCTCTCTCTCCCTCCCACTCTACCTGAACAAAAAATGGAAAAATGTCCTCAGGTGAGGATTAAAAAAAAAAAAAAAAATTTTTTTTCTTTATTGATTTTAGAGAGAGAGGAAGGGAGAGAGAGAGAGAGATAAACACTGATGAGAGAGAACATTGACCTACATGTCCCCCACTGGGGACTGGACCCACAACCTGGGCATGTGCCCTGACCAGGAACGGAACCGGTGACCTCCTAGTGCATGGGTCGATGCTCAACCACTGAGCCACACCAGCCAGGCTAATTTCTTTTTTTATATTTTAATTTTAATTTAATTTGTTATTTATTTCCTTTTTATTGAATTTATTGGGGTGACACTGGTTAACAAAAGTATACAGGTTTCAGGTGTACAATTGTACAACACATCATATGTACAGTGTATTGTGGGTTCACCACCCCAAGTCAAGTCTCCGTCCATCACCATTTATACCCCCTTTACCCTCCTCCATCTCCGTCCCCCAACCCCAGCAATCACCACACTGTTGTCTCTGTCCATGAGCTTTTTCTCTTTCTTTTTCCTTTTTTGTCCAATCCCTCCACCCTTTCACCCACCTTTGCCCTCGAAAGTGAATAATTTCTGTTCTTTGAAAGCTGTTAAGAGAACGAAAAAACACAAGTCTCAGACTGGAGGAAAAATTTTGAAAATCATACGCACACACACACACATATACACATATATATACCCAGAATATATAAAGAGCTCTAAAAATTCAATTAAAAAATTTTATAACTGCAGTGGTCAGTATGGCGCAGTTGGTTGGAGCATTGAACTGTACACCAAAAGGCGGCAGTTTTGATTCCCACTCAGGGCAAATACACAGGTTGTGGGTTTGATCCTGGTCTGGTTAGGGTTTGTGCGGGAGCCAACCCACCTGTTTCTCAATCACATTAATATTTCTCTCTTTTGCTCTCTCTCCTCACTTCCTCTCAAAAATTAATTTAAAAAATATTTTAAAAACTGGCAAGAAATTTGAATAGATGCTTCATTAGAGATGATGGGGGATGGCAAATTAACACAGGAAAAGTTGCTAAACCTCATTTAGACATTAGAGAATTTAAAAATACAGAGAGATGCCACTACACACCTGTTAGAATGCAAATTGGCACAACGATTTTGGAAAGCAGTCTGGCAGTTTCTTAAAAAGTAAGTGGCAGGTTTCTAGTGATAGAAAGCAGACCAGTGGTTGCCTGGGGAAGGGAAAAGTGATGGGAGGGGGGAAGAGGAGGGTGACAAAGAGACAAGAGGAAACTTTTGGGAGTGGGTGATGGACGTATTTATTATCTTAACTGTGGAGATGGTTTCAAGGGTGCTTACATTTATCAAAACTTATGAAATTGTATACTTTAAATATGTGCAGTTTATTCTATATCAATTAGACATCAATAAAGTAGTTTTAAAAAATCAAATGGAATATTCACACATGTGAAAACTAAAGCTATTTGTAGGACTCTCATACAAGTGATAAGAACAACCCACGAAGCAATACAATCCACTAGGTAAAGGGTAGATATTTAGGTTTTTAAATTTGGTTTTCTAAATTTGGAAAGTCAGAATAGACCCAGTCAGAACAATAGAACCAGTTCTTGCTTTGGCCATGATTTCTTTTAATTAATTAATTTTTTCTTTATTGATTTTTTTTTTTTTAAGAGAAAGGAAGGGAAAGGGAGAGAGAGATAGAAACATTGATGAGAGAGAACATCGACTGGCTGCTCTCCTGCATGCCCCCCACTGGGGATCGGGCTCACAAACTCGGCATGTGCCCTGATCAGGAATCAAACTGGCGACCTCTTGGTGCACGGGTCAACGCTCAATTGGGCCTGGCCATGATTTCTTTATCCTACTTCAGCCAACACCTGCAATGTTGAGTTGCCCTAAAAGTTTCCATGGAATAAAGTTATCGAAAGTAAGTGTGATGCCTGGCTGGTGTGGCTCAGTGGATTGAGCATTGTCCCTTGGACTGAGAGGTCCTGGTTGCAGGCTTGGTCCCCAGTGGGGGGCGTGCAGGAGGCAGCCAATCCATGTTTCTCTCTCACATCGATGTTTCTCTTTCTCTCTCCCTTCCTCTCTAAAAAATAAATAAAAACATATTAGAAGAAAAGAAAGTAAGTGTGGCTTGCTGGGGCAGGGGAAGAGCAGATCCTGGCTGTATTTGGCGTCTGTATTTGGCTATGCCCAGTTCCTGGGCCTTTCTTGAAAAGGCCCAAGAAGGCGGTGTGAAACTGGATGCTTGGACCATCCCCTAAGAGAAGATGCGAGCACAGTGGCTTTCCCTTGAGCCTGTGGCAAGGGCCGGCTGAACGGCTGACTGGCTGACTGTCCTTATACACACAGTGTATCTACCAGTTCGTGACTGCTCTGGCTGTCAACGACTGCGGAGGTAGAAACTTGGAATCCCAGCTGGAAAACATTTCAGGCATGCTGTTTGACCAGGTGAGTGCTGGGGGGCTGGGCTTGGTCTTCCTCTCTTCCTTGGAAGTGATGGTTACCCCAGCCCAGGTCCCAACTCCCACACGGCCCAGGGCTTCTTCTTATGATGACCTCAATTGCACACACCTCAGGCTTCCCTGGAACAGGTAAATGCCTGGATTCTGGCCACAGGGTGGATATTCTCTGTGAGGCAAATGGGACATATTCTGTATGTTTCTTGGGGTGGAAGCCTTTGTTGCTCCCCCTAAACTGGTTAAGGGCAGAAAGTTCAAACCACTCCATTATGCCTATGGGAAATGGCAGGTGTTCCATATTGCAGCCTAGAGAAGAGAGAGGACAACTCAACATTTCGCAGAAAGGTGTTACCTTCCATACATTTAATGTGTTGGCCACTGTCTTGTGTCCCCTGGAGCTGTGTGTGTGGGTTCCTTGCTGCATTCTTAAGTTTCTCCATCCATGCCCAGGGCCCCTCGCTTTTCAGTGATCTCAGGTCTGATGACTTTGGTCTCCCCACAGCTGAGTAAAGAAGTCAACCAATCAGGTCCTTACTCTGGAGAGAACTTCAGCTTCACCATGAAGGCGTTCTTCATCCTGAGTAAGTTAACAGATTCTCCTCGCCCTGGGTAATTGTGTCAGTGGGTACTCAGGACCTTGTCTCTCCCAGGACTGGAGTGGGGCTTAGGTTCCCAAGAGGGGCTTTCATTCATCAAACGAGATGCAAAGTAGTAATCCATGTAAACTTTGCCTGAAATTTAGTGAGTCGCAAAGGGCGTAGACATTTTCTCACCCCTACTCCTTTTGTTCCCCCTCCCTGTACTTGGGGTTGGCTTCCCTTTCTCCTTTGGTGATCCCGAACTCAGAAAGGTGGTGATGTGATTACAGCACTGATGATCACGAAAGAGGTTCTGACCTACAGGAGGGCACATGGTGGGGCAGGAGAGGGGCAGGCCTAGCTCAGGAAAAGCACCTGCCTCCATGCTTGTAACATTGTAAATGCTGGACAGACCCTGGCTCTCTTCCTTCTTCTTTTCTCCAACCCAATAGACCCTAATTTATCCAGCCCATGGCATTAGTGGTTTGCTGTGAGCATGATTTACTACTACTTACCACCTGCCACTTAAACATACCCCTGACTCCCGTGTATTCATGCCCTCTGATAGCCAGGTTATACAAGGATCAGCTGATATTCTTAATACGGAAGACCATGGAGTCCAGTGATACAGCCAAGATAGTATCAGCCCTTCAAGTGTTCAGGAATGTGTTTCAGGAAGGTGAGTGGGAATTGAGCCTGGTTTTAGGGATCTCCTTTCTCATAAGATCTTCTTTCTCTGGGAAACAGTCCCATAGAGTAGCTAAAAGCAGTTTTAAACTCAATGGGTTCAAATCTTGGCTTTGACTCTTATTAACTGTGCAAACTGGGGTGGGTTTTAGTCTGTACTTCTATTTCCTCATTTGGAAAATGGAGGTGCCCTGGCTGGGAGGCTCAGTTGGTTGGAGCATCACCCCATACATTACAAGGTTGCGGGTTCGATTATTGGTCAGGGCACATGCACATACCCAGGTGCGTGTTTGATCCCTGGGATGGGTACATATGGGAGGTGATGGATTGATGTTTCTCTCTCTCTCTCTCTCACATCAATAAAAACATATCCTTGCGTGAGGATTATAAAAAAAAGAAAAAAAATGGAGGTAACATTAATATCTACCTTTAGGCATTTTTAGTGAGAATTAAAAGAGAAAACATACATTGGAGTACAGGTTTCCACTCCAATCAAGTGTTCATCAAACCTTTGCTGTGTGCCTAGCACAGTGCAAGGCACAGAGAACACACACATAAATAAGACATGGCCCCTGCTCTCAAGGAGCTCACTCTCAAGTAGGGAAGATGAGGCTGTCCACACAGCAAAATGATGCAAGATAATGCGATGTTACTTTAAATGTGAGCATGGCAATGGGCACGGAGTGCAGAGAAGGTCCCGTTGGGAGATGGGGTGGAATCTGCAGGAGCTGTGCGGAGAGCGGGAAGGAGGTTGCGCGTCGCAGAGGGAACGCACACAGAAGAGCCAGCCGGCAGCTCTGAAGGCTGAGACAGGCAGAGGGTGAATAGAACCGCTTGGCTGGCGAAGCGGTTTGTGTGGCCAGTAATGAGAGACAGGCAAGGGCCGAGGCTCAAGTGCCAGCTTGATGAACAGACTGTTGGAGGCCACTCATTTTTAGTCTGGTCTGAAGCAGAGGGAACAGGGGGATAACCTCTGGAGTTCAATCTGGCCTTTGAAGAGCAGGACTGTGTCTAGGTCTTCCACCTGTCTGTCTTTTCACGCCTCCTGAAGCAACAGAGTAGGAGGGAGGAAACGGACTCCGTGCCCGTCTGTCTTTCCTCTAGTGCCTCAGACGGAGAAGATGAAGCGTGAGGTGATGCACTCAACCATCATGGTGATTCAGGAGGACTTCATACCAGTGAGCAGAAAGGCAGCATGTTCAGGGTGGGAGGCAATTGCTGTTTTGAGAAATGGAGAGGGGAAGGTTTGGGGGGATGAGGAGAGAGGTGAGGCACCCTTCCAAGCCAGTTCTGGCCTCAGACTGCAGCCCATGGTTATGTTGGGGCTCTTCAAAACCCGAGAAAGGTTTGAGAAATGGACAGGTGGTTCCTTCATATTTTCTGAGCCATTTCTGTGGGCAGCACTGTGGTGAGCCCAGTAGGGACATGGAGTTCTGAAAGATACTGATTCTGCGAATTCATAGTTTGCTTGGGGAGAGAAGTCCTCAAACATCGCGTTTGGCGTGGGGTCTGAGAAACCATATATAGTTTTTAAGTCTTATTGTTTTGTCTTAAATTTTTTTTTCAGTTACAGTTGATGTACAATATTATATTAGTTTCAGGTGTACAACCCAGTGATTAGACATTTATTTATATAACTTATACAGTGATCACCCTGATAAATCTAGTACCTGGCACCACACATTGTTATTACAATATTATTGACTATATTCCCTATGCCATCTATACTTTATATCCCCATGACTAGTGTATAACTACCAATTTGTACTTCTTTTTTTTATTATTATTATTATTTTTTATCATCCTCACCTGAGGACATTTTTCCATTTTTTGTTCAGATAGAGTGGGAGGGAGAGAGAGGAAGAGAGAGAGAGAGAAACATCGATGTGAAAGGGACACATCGAGTGGTCGCCACCCCCACAACCAACCAGGGCCAGGGACAAACTGCAACCGAGGTACATGCCCTTAGCGGGAACCGAACCCAGGTCCCTCCGGACCGCAGGCCGATGCTCTAACCGCTGAGCCAAACCGGCCAGGGCCCAATTTGTACTTCTTAATCTCTTCACCTTTTTCATCCCCCCCCCCCCCCCAACTTTCCTGCCATCAAGCAACTATCAAAAATGTTCCCTGGCCCTGGCTGGTTTGGCTCAGCGGTTGGAGCGTCGGCCTGCGGACCAAAGAGTCCTGGGTTCAGTTCCTGCTAGGAGCATGTACCAAAAAAAAAAAAAAAAAAAAGTTCTCTGTATCTATGAGTCTGTTTCAGTTTGGCTTGTGTATTTTGTTTTTTAGATTCCACAAATAAGTGAAATCACATGGCATTTGTCTTTCTGTATCTGTGTTTGTTTTTCTGTATCTGACTTACTGCACTAAGCACAGTACCCTTTAGGTCTAACCATGTTGTTGCAGATGGCAAGATTTCCTTCTTTTTTTCTTTAAATTTTTTTTCTTTATTGATTTAGAGAAAGGAAAGGAGAATGAGGGACAGATAGAAACATCGATGAGAGAGAATATAGATTGGTCGTTTCCTGCATGCCCCCCAATGGGGATTTGGCCCACATCCTGGGCATGTGCCCTGACCAGGAATTGAACTGGTGACCTCTTGGTGCATGGGTCGACACTCAACCACTGAGACACACTGGCTGGGCAAGATTTCATTCTTTTTATGGCTGAGTCATATTCCAGTGTATATATGCACCACTTCTTCATCATCATTCATCTATTGATGGACACTTACGCTGCTTCCATAGCTTGTCTATTGTAAATAATGCTGCAAAAAACATATAGATGTATATGTCTTTTCAATTTGGTGTTTTTTGGTTTCTTCAGATTAATACCCAGAAGTGAAATTGCTGGGTCCTTCTTTGTCTCCTCCTCCTCCTCCTCCTCTCCTCCTCCTCTCTTCCTCTTCCTCCTCCTCCTCCTCCTCCTCCTCCTCCTCCTTCTTCTTCTTCTTTCTTCACCCGAGGATATTTTTTCATTTATCTTCAGACAGACAGGGAGGGAGGGAGAACGAGAGAGAGAGAGAGAGAGAGAGAGAGAAACATCAATGTGAGAAGAGAGACATTGATTGATTTCCACCTGAATGACCCCAACTGGGACTGAGGAGGAACTGCAACTGAGGTACGTGCCCTTGGCCAAAATTGAACCCAGGACTCTTTGGTCCACAGGGCGACGCTCTAATTGCTGAGCCAAACCGACCAGGGCCTACTTTGTCTCTTCTTATAGACTCTGTTTTAAAGTCTGTTTTGTCTCCAGCTTTTTATTTTGGTTTTGTTTCCATTTTCATGAAATATCTTTTCCCATCTTTTTACTTTTAGTTTGTGTTTGTCTTTTGATCTGAAGTGAGTTTCTTGCAGAGAGCATATATAAAGGTCTTGTTTTCTTATCTCAACCACCTTATGTATTTTGATTGGAGCATTTAATTCATTTGCATTTAAGATAATTGTTGATAAATATATAGTTATTACCATTTTATTATACATATTTTTTTTTATCTTCTTTTCTTCTTCTTAAAGAATACCCTTTAACATTTCTTGTAATACTGGTTCGGTGGTGATGAACTCCTTTAGCTCTTTCTTATCTAGGAAGCTCTTTATCTGTCCTTCAATTCTAAATGATAACTTTGCCGGGTAGAATTATCTTTTTATCATTTTGAATATTTCTTGCCACTCCCTTCTGATCTGCAAAGTTTCTGTTGAGAAATCAGCCAACAGTCTTATGGGAGCTCCCCTGTAGGTAACTAACTGCTTTTCTCTTGCTACTTTTAAGATTCTCTCTTTGTCTTTCATCTTTTGCATTTTAATTATGATGTGTTTTGGTGTGGACCTCTTTGGATTCATCTTGTTTGGGACTTTCTGCACTTTTTGGACTTATGTGTTTATTTCCTTCACCAGGTTAGGGGAGTTTTCCATTACTTTTTTTTTTTTTTCAAGTAGGTTTTCAATTTCTTGCTATTTCACTTCTTTTTCTGTTACCCCCATTATGGAAATATTTGTATGCTTGATGTTATCCCAGAGGCCACTTAAACTATCCTCATTTTTTTTTTTTTTTTTGATTCTGTTTCCTTTTTGCTGTTTTGATTGTTTTCTTCTACCTTATCTTCCAAATTGCTGATTCAATTTTCTGTGAGAAACCATATTTTTAACAAGCTCTGCAGCCAGGGTTAAAAACAGCAGAGACTATATCCAGCTCTGGATCACACAGGCTAGGGGAAAAGGGGAGCAAGGGAGCAGGGGAGCAGTGGAGCACTGGTTTGGGGTGCCAAATGAATGACAATGGAAATATCCCTAAAAACAAAGTCCTAAATCCTCAGAAAGTTAATGGAAAACCTGGAACCTTGAGGGCTGGGCTCTCAAGACTTGTTGGATTTGTTCCTGGATTTCCCTAGAAAGGCCAAAACATGGGACCTTTCCTGGATTCAGATTCTCCCCCTACCCAACACTCTTGCTAATTTTCATATCTCTGGGAAAATAAGGTGTCTGCGAGCTAATTGCTGAGAGTTTTCCAGGGAGGTGGTGGGAGCTGAAGTGGTTTAGAACTTTAGGGCAAAGTTCAGAAGTTGTCAAGTTCAGTGTCTGGTGGTCTGTCATCACTCGGGGCCCACTGAAAAGTCTGGGCTTGGAGTCAGGAGATCTGAGCCCCTCCCCTGCTTTGGTCCTCTGTGTCCTCACCTGGAATATGAGGGGGCATACCAGCAGTCCCTGACATTCCTTCCTGTCCTGCTACAGGTGCCAATGGCCCTCTTGCAATTCATTGAGTTGCTGAGCCAGCATGGCTACTTGGCCCTGCCCCAGGGGAACACCATCATCAACTACATCATCAAGCTCAGCAAGTCTGACTCATCAGTGAGCAGGGGCTGGGCATGGAGGGGACCAAGGATGGGAGCAGGCCTCCGGGGAGGGAACAAGAGAAAGGCAGAGTTGGGAGCAGGAGGGAAAGAGAAGGGTACTTTTGGCACAAGGGAAGGGCCTTTGGCCTCTAAAGCCCTGAGCAGTGAGCCAGAGGAGGCCTTGAACCCGGAGACTTAGCTGGCATTGATTTCAGATTTAAATCTTTCCTTTTCTTATTCCAGAATGAAGAGGACACCCGAATAATGTGTTCCAAAATCCTACAGATGGTACAGACAGCTAGGATTAAACAGGCCTCTCCATGTCCTCCTCCCCTGGCTCCCCAGATTACTACCCTGACCCCCAGATTGCATTCTACACCCCACCATCTACTTCCTTGTGGTGTCTCTTTCACCCCTCCCCACCTCCATTTGGTTCCACTCAAGTGCCTGGGCTCCTCTGAGAAGTGCTCACTGCAGCAAAGAGGGTCACTGAGTGGTAGATCTGGAGGCCTGAGTTTGAGTCCTGCTTAGCCAGTTTCAAGCTGTAAAATCTTGTTCTCCCAGCTGCAGTTTCTTCTTCTGTGAAAAAGGAGGTGATTATGTTCCCTGCCTGTTCTTAGCAACGTGTAGGGATTCCTGAAGGCTCATATGAGTTGGTTTGTGTCCGAACTGAAGAAAGGGCTATGGGAGGAGAAAGACTTGAGAATTAGCTTCCCTCCCAGTAAGTCCTGCCTCATGACCTTCAGCATTGTCTCTGCCTCTGGGAGATTCCCCAGTGAAGGTGATTACAAGTCACACATTCCAAATGTCAAGAAACCTTCATCTATATAATCAAGTCCTTCCTGCTGTAATTTTAATCAGGACCTTGGTTATATTTTATCAATGTGGAGTGCAGAGAGAGAGAGAGAATATGAATGTGTTAGGGGGGCTGTGTATACAAGTCTCAGATGCCCCTCTGGGAAAGGAAAACAAGGTCATGGGGTTGGACAACAGGTTGATTTGGGCTTGGCATTGAAGTTCTTGCCACATCTTCTGCCAGGTGTCTTTGCCCAAACTGGTCACTTGTGTGTGTGAGCCCAACAACGTCGCAGCCTTTGTACCTCTGTGCAGGATAGCCACAGAAATGGCCCTGAAGGCCCGCTTGGTGGGCCGGGTTCCCTACCTCAGCAGCTTTCACTGCAGCCGTGAGTACAAGAGTGGGGCAGGCTGAGGTGGGGTGCCCACTGTGAAAGCTCGGGCTGTTGTGGGTATGGAGTATTGGGGTTGCGAGCTGGCTGAGACACTGCAGGGGTATTGCGTGCAGGGGAGAGGGTGCAGCTCTGAGAGGGAGGCTGTAGGTCCCAAGCCTGGGCCATGATGGAAAGAGTAAAGCAAAGGGTTAAGGCAGCAGCTTAAGGCTATTTGGCCCCATGGATGAAAACAGGATGCCTCTAGAAGACACAGTTCCTTCTTGCCTGTATTCCTCATTTAAAAACACTGGAGTCGAGATGTACAAACTGTACAAACATTGTTAATTACAAAGTAATGAATACACAAACATTCCTGATCCTTAGTTCTTCCTTTGCCCCAACTCTGAGCCTCACCCTGTGCTCACCCCATCCCTGACCTCTAACCACGTGGGAGTCAGGAGTAGAGTTAGGATGTCAGTTCAGGAGATTACTTGGTGTGTGTATGATTTTTTATAGGGTGAAAATGTAATGGATTGTTTTTTAGGCTGAGTTAAAATGTCACAAGCCCCCATGACATTGGCACTGATGTTCCCTCCCCACTTTGCTCTTTCTCCTCTTCTGAAGTACTGATGGGAAGTGGCTAGTGGAGGCTGGAGGTTGAGTATCCTGGAGTGTGCATTGACTGTGTCCTCTTCTTTTCTCCTCTCTTTAACTTAGCCACCGAGTTCATCTCACCTCAGAGACTCCTGACCTATCTTATGGTAAGTGATTCTGGGATGAGTACTATATCCATCCATCCATCCATCCATCCATCCAATCATTTCACAAATAGTTGAGTACTACTGTATTTCAGGTGTTATGCTGAATATGGAATAAAGGGGTAGGAACTAGGATCATGGGGGCCAAAGAGCTTGGAGGAGGGAACTGGGAGCATAGTGGTGGGGTCTGGAATAGGAAAGGAGTGGGGGATGGGAAAGGCCCAGCCTCTCTCCTCTCTGTTGACCTTGGACAAGTCACATGCCTTTCTGGATCTGGTTTGAGTTTCTCTGTTAGCCCAGACATTATATACTAGACATTATGGACACTTGGAGTGACAAGAAGACCTGCCCTTGAGGTGTTCACAGTCTGAGTGGGGAAGACAAGCCTGGGAATAATCACCTACCATCCAGTGTGGTAAATGCACTAATAGACGAATACACAGGGTGCACAGGGAACTTAGAAGAGCAACAAACTGATATGATCTCCAGGAGTGAGGAAGGCATCACAGAAGAGATGATGTTTCAAGAGCATCTTGAAGAATGTAGGAATTCAATAGGTGGAAAAGAATGGGAGGGTCTAAACCTCAGCTCTACCATGCTATGAATTTGTTTTAATTTCTTCTCTTCCTTTAAACCTTTTCTCTGCCTCCTGCTTGCTTCCCTTGCTTCTCAGATGGTTTCCCAGAAGCCCTACAGGGAAAAGGACTTTGGTGTAAGCGCTCTAAGGCTACTATATGCCCTGCATCCTATCACTTCCCTACACCCTGTTATCCACTTCAATGTGGGCCAGCTGTGGACAAAGATGATCCCACGGATGTTGAAGATACTAGATGGTAAGGGGTTAGTTAGGAGGGGGGAGGAATGGAGCTGGGGCAGTGGGCAGACTCCAGAAAAGATGGAGTCTTGAGATGCAGGATGGACCTTCCTTGGGGTAAGGGGAACTGTGACTGGCTTCTCCATCCCTCTGACATGCTGTTGGATGAGTCTATTTATTTGGCTAATGTTCTGCACTGAGCAGATATGCAGTCTAGAGATCTGTGGCTTCAGAGTTGCCAGAATTACTCTTACCCCTTCTTTTAGGCAGAGGATCAGGGAAGAGTGTGGGCTTTGGAAACAGACTAGTTTTGTACCCTTGCTCTGACACTGGCTAGTTGTGTATGTTTCACCTTTGCAAAATCATTCACCTTCTGGAGCCTCTATAAAGAGGGAGAGCAATTATTTTGTAGGCTCAGCACCACATAGTGTTGAAATGTTTTTTTCCTCCCTGGGTGGGTCCCCATGCTCTCTTTTTTCCTAGATCACACTGAGAAGAACCTGAATCAGAGGAAGTGGGAGGACAAGCTGCTCCAGGTAAGCACTCCCCAAGAGCTACCTCCCTCCACACTTGCCTTCTTTCCCCTCTTCAGGATCCTGAGGGAGGGTAGTCTCAGGCCCCCCAGAGACTGAGGCTGTGTCAAGGGTCTCTCTGCTCAAGCGAACATCTTTCTGTGGTCTCCTTGCCTCCTGGCCTCTGCATCAGAGTATCTGACTATATCCTAAGCCTTGACTCACCTTCCATACTCTACAAAGGCCCATATCAAGGGGAGTGAGGAAAGGGGTCCTAGCTATGTGTTCTTGGGCAAGTTATATAGCTTTTGCATGCCTCAGGTTCTTTATCAGTGAAATGGAAGTAACTTCTGTCATCCAGAATTAAATAGGATGATACAGAAGAGGACCTTGTAAATTGGACAGGGCTTCACACATGTAGCTGGCATTATCATCATTGTCACTGTATTATCATTCTCCAGTCCCGACTAGCTCCCACCATGTATTTCATCTCTCTTTCCATATATAAACACCATGACCCCTGTCTCTTGCTTCTTCTTGACCCCACTTCTGTGGGTCAGAGAAGCCCTGCTACTATCCTTTATGGTCTTCTCCCTTCTTCTTCCTCAGTTTTTAAGACGGTCATTAGTGGCCATTGATGATGACAACTGGCAGAATCACCTCATCAGAGTCATCTTGGAGAACATAAATTATTTCAGTGACCCTGGCGAAGGGAAGGTGTGTCTGGGTGTGGTGGTTGGGGTGGTTGGGGTGGAGGGTGTGTTGGAGGAGCCTGGTGGTCACACAGGTGGCTGTAGAAATGTCCATGGAGTACAGGCCTTGGGGAAAGAGCAAACCAGTGTTCCTGTGTCTTGGGAATCGAGGGGTGGAGAGGACCATGGGCTGCTGGTCACGCTGGCAAAAATATCCAAGTGTCTTCCATTTGCTTAGTGTCTTAGGCTTTGTCAAGAACTTAGCTGTCTGTTGTCTTCATTGAACCTTCCAGTATTCTGTAACAGAATGGAGCTGGACTTGGGTGCAATGGAAAGATGATTGACTTTAGGGTCAGATTTAAGCAAGTTAATTCAAGTAATATTTGTGGGCATCTCATAGGTCAGGGACTGTGCTTCATGTTGGGAATACAGCGCTGAGGAAGAAATATGGACCCCTTTCCTCACAGACTACAAGGTCAGTGGTGGTGAAGGCCTGGGGTCCTGCCCTGGCTTTTCCATGTGTTCCCAGTTTAGTCTGGATCAGGTGTCTTAGTGTCCTTGAGATTTCAGTGGCCTCACTTGGGAAGCAGCAAAAGTAACTTCTGCATCACAGGAGAGTGGATGCGGATTGAACAAGGATAACTGTGAAGGTGCTTTGTTAACTCAAAAGCCTACATCACCTGATAGCTGTCATCATCCCTATCTTGCAGGAGAAGAAACACAATCCAGAAGGATTCAGTCTTTTTTTTTTTTTTTTTATCCTCACCCGAGGATATTTTTCCATTTTTTGTACAGATAGAGTGGGAGGGAGGGAGAGGAAGGGAGAGAGAGAGAGAAACATCGATGTGAAGGGACACATCGAGTGGGCCTGCCACTCCGCACCACGACCAACCAGGGCTGGGGACAAACTGCAACCGAAGTACGTGCCCTTAGCGGGAACCGAACCCGGGTCTCTCCGGACCGCAGGCCGACGCTCTAACCGCTGAGCCAAACTGGCCAGGGCAGGATTCAGTCTTAAGCAAATGTTGGTAAAACTGGCACCTGAATCCAGGTTTCTTGATTTCGAATCTTATTTTCCTGTTACCGAGCAACACTTTATCTGGGGGGTTTCCAGAAAAGAGGCCTTATTTCCAAGGCTGTTTGCTCTCTAATCAGTAACAAATATTTATGAAGCACCTACTGTATGCATATCTTTGTGGCTGGTAGATCAGGGATTACAAAATGAAGCAAGCTGGAATTCTGATCTTATTAATTCAGTTACAGTCACATCTCGGTTCTCGAACATCGCACATCTCGAATAATTTCGTTCTTGACCAAGTTGTTCATGGAAATAATGTCTCCCTTGTGGTTTTCAGCCTGACAACCCTTTCCTGCTGATACCTCAGCATGACAAAAAGTGTCTCTCAGGCCACAGAGGAGAGAATGCTTTTGTTGTTGGAGAAATTGACTTTTAGCACAATTTTAAAACATAAAGAGTCCATCAGGAGTGCTAATGTTGGTAAGAGTGTGAAAGTGCTCCCAAAACAACAATCACAGGCAATTGAAGAGGTAGAAAAATTAGTGATTTGGGTAAAGGAACGTGGTTGGCCGGTGACCGCATTCCGGAGGCAGTGATGTGTGCAGAAGTGAAGATGCTGCGGACTGACCTCCTGAAAGACACGCTGGACCAGTGCTGAGAGCGACCCCTTTAAGGCTGGTGGGGTGTTTTGGTAAATTTATGGAAAGAAGTATTTGTTTACAGGTTAAACAGTACATTAGACATGTACTGTGTGTAAGAAAGGTGAAAACTGGGAATCATTTGGGGGTCTGGAACACATTAATCCAATTTACACGATTTCTAATGGGAAAGATGATTTGGTTTTCAAACAAATTGCTTCTCAAAGGGCCTTCTGGAGGGAATTAAGTTAGAAAACTGAGGTTCCACTGTACTGAAAATGTGTGCCACATGCCTAGAGCAGAACAGGCACTGGGCTGGGCACAGGGTGTTCGTGTAAGAGACAGACTCTGCCTTCAGGAAACCATGCTCTGCTTGAGTGAGTAGACAAGAACGTGGGCAGATACTCTGTGCTGGAAAGGTCGGGATGGCAATGCGCACCGTGTGCTTGGGGCACTGAGGAGGCCAGTGGGGGCTGGCAGAGAAGCTTTCTCTGAGGCCGTCCACTGTTTAGGTTTGCTCAAGACTGTCCCCTTGTTGGCACTACCAGTCCTGAGCAAACTGGGAAGATGAGTCTCCTGTGGAAGAGTGAACACATCTGGGAAAAGGAGGCGTCTTTGCCCGCTAAGCAGAATAGCAGGTGCCTCAGGTCAGGTTAACTGATGCAGAGCCTAACGTGAGGATTCTTGTCCAGTGACTTAGTGAAGAGATGCTCTCTGCGAAGTGACAGAGTGAAGGACCCAGGGTAGGGGAGAGGAGAGGCTACGAGAGGATGCGGCCTGATCCCGTGGGAGCCCTGAATGGAAACTGCCCCACAGAGTCTGTCCCACTGGAGACAAGTGGGGGGGGGTTGTACCCCTCGCCCCTAACATGTCTGTCATTGGCTCCATGTCCCAAAGTTGGCCTGGTGCAGGGAAGGGAGAGAGAACAGTGTAGCTCCCTGGTACCTGGGGCAAGGAGACCCCGTCACCTCAGAGCAGTTCTCCCCAAGGCTGCTGGGTGTAGCTATTCGCAAAAATACCTGCAGCCAGTTGAAGGGAAGGCAGGTGAGTGTCTGCTAGAGGGGAGAAGACGCACGTAGAGAGGCGGTAAGACATTCACTGAACCTGGGATATCCTGTTTGCCTACTGAGCCAGGCACTGTTAGCGCTGGGGCGGAGCAGCGAACCGGAGACACAGCTCCGAAGCTGGATTCGCACCTGAAACGTGGGGGTGGGGCAAGTGAGGAACCAACTGGACAAATCCACAGACAAGGTTGTGAGTGTGATGAAGCTCTGAAGGAATGAAACAGGGTAGTGAGCTGGAGAGGAACTTAGGTCAGGGAAGGCTCACGGAAGTGAGATTGAAAGATGAGAAGGAAACAATCTGAAGAGCCCAGGGAAGGGGCTTCTAGACAGAGAAACTAGGAGCTGCAGAGACCCAGTGGCAGGGAGTGGGTGTGTCCACGCAGATGGTACGCCATGGTAGACAGGACAGAGTGCAGTAAGCAGGGTTCAAGGCCACTGGAATTCAGAGGAGGGAGAGAGAAGGATTATATGAAAGAACTGTTTCTTTAAAAATGTTTTTCCTTTATTTTTAGAGAGAGGAAGGGAGAGAGAGATAGAAATATCGATGAGAGAGAATATTGATTGGCTGCCCCTCCCCCTCCCCCTCCCCCTCCCCGGGGATTGGGTCTACAACCTGAGCACCTCATGGTGCATGGGTCGACGTTCAACCACTGAGCCACAGTGGTCGGGCCCAATTATGGAATTTTTATTCTAAAAGTATGCCAATTTAAGGAACTGTTTTTATTTCCTAGCTGGAAGTGGGAAGTATGTGGGTCAGGGAAAGTTCCTAAAGACTGATCCCTAAGGGGCTGAGAATCAGAAATGCAGTGTTCTTTCCCCTCTAACTGGAGCCCCTGCTCCCGAGGATTACTGCCTTATCCAGCCACCCCAGAGAGCAAGAGGGCTGGGGTGGCCCATGGGGCTGTGGGCCACCGTCTTGAAATACCTGCTCTAACCTTATTCCAAACTATGCATGACCCTGCCCTTGTACTTCTAGGATTTTCTATATAAATTATTTGGCTTCTCCCTGTGGACCTCAAGGAACGAGCAACTGGTGAAGATGATGCTTTCGTCCATCCTCCAAACTTCCCATGAGAACCTGCAGGAGAGGGAGGTGAGGCAGAGAGCATGGCAGAGAGAGGTTACGAGTCAGGATGGCAGGGGGCTAAAAGCGCAGGCCTGCAAACCAGACCACCTGGGGTGGAATCCCAGCTCGGCCACCTACTAGCTGTGTGCCCTCAAGCAAGTTCCTGAATTCTGTATGCCTCAGTTTCCTTCTCTGTACGATGAAGCTGTGGTACCTTCCTCATGGGATATTTCCTAAAAAGTTTTTTTTTTTTTTTGAAAATTTATAGACCCAATTTGAAAGTCATCAGTTGTTTCAACAATATGTTTTGGAGCAAAAAAACCCCAGAAAACAACACAGTCTTTTCTAGTCCAGCGTCTAATCCAGAATCAAACAGTGCATTCAGTTGTCATATCTCTTTATTCTCCTCTAATCTGGAGCAAGTCCCTCATCTTTATCTTTCATGATCTGGACATTCAAAAAATATACAGACCACTTATTTCATAGAATGTCCATGGGGCTTGGATTGTCTCTTATCTCCTCAAGATTAGATACCACAGGCCGGGCTGGTGTGGTTTGCATTGACCATGCACCAGAGGTCTCCAGTTCGATTCCCGGTCAGGGCACATGCCCAGGTTGTGGGGCAGATCCCCAGTGGGGGGCATGCAGGAGGCGGCCAATCAATGTTCTCTCTCATCACTGTTTCTATTTCTCTCTCCCTTTCCCTCCAAAGTCAATAAAGAAAAAAAAAAAGATTAGATATCACAGAAGTGATGTGTGTTGTCATGGTTTTGAGGGTTAATGTGTAAAAGCACTTAGAACAATGCCTGGCACATAAGCACTGTCTGGTGACCTCTTGGTGCATGGGCTAAGTGTGGGCTACTGGTAGTGTTGGCTTCCACACCGTCAGGGCGCCCCTCTCCGAGACCCTTCCCCTGCCAGATTCTCAGAGCATCCATCACCGCCATGGTCAGCAGCAGGTGTTTACCAAGCCCAGGTTGCAAACAGTATCAATAGGAAGAAGGACATGTACAGGAAGGATGTAGCTAATTACACACAGTAGCCTCACTAAAGGCTACATGAGCAGTCACTGAGGCACAGTGGCTGCGTGGGCTTTGCTGGGACTTTGGTTGGTTGTGGCGAGTCTAGGAGAAGGAGGGAGGCAGGTATTCCCACTTGACATAACATTCTGAGTCAAGACTCAGGAGCAGGAGCTTTTGGGAGCATGTCTAGAGAACAGTCAGTAGTGCAGTGGGACTCAAGTGCAGAGTTCTTTGACAAGCAAGTAAAAGTGACCTCTCTGCTAGCACTTGGGGACAGAAGAAGAAAGAGAGAGGGGAGAGGACATCCAGGATGGTCCCTGGGTTGCTGGTGTCTCAGTGGGAGGAGAATGGTATCCTTCACTGAGATCGGGAACCCAGGACAGAGGAGGAGGAAGTTGATGCACTTAGGTCTTGACTGGGAGGGGTTGAGGTGCCAGGTGGAGATGTCCAGTAGCCATGTAGATCTGGAGCTCAGATCTGGGCTGGATGTCTAGATTTGGGAAACATATTTTCCCTGTCTGTAAAATGGGGATGATAATATTTGCCTCAAAGCGTTAGTGTGAGGATCCATGAAATAGCATGTATGAGGCTGGTACACACTAAGCACTAATATTCTGATGATGTCAGTTATGATGCTGACGATGATGACTAGGATGAGTGGAAGCCATGGCTAAGGGAGGACATAAGAAGGGGGACAAAATAGAGTCCCCTTCTGATACTCGACCAGCCTCTCTTTTGTAAGGAGGTAAACATTTCCCTTCATCTAGTTGGGGTCCAAAAGTCCATAAGTCCCTTCTTGAGGATCTGTGTCCTGGAGCCTGTCACTGTCCTGGGGCCCCCTCCACTCTGCCTTCTCTTGCTGCAAAATCTCACTGGCCCTTCCAGCACAAAAGAGCTGGTTGGCAGACATCTGGAACCTGCATGTCTGTGGTGAGCATGTCTTTAGCTCTGTGCTCAGCCATCCTTGTTGAGCAAGCTCTAGGAAGAGGCTCAGCTGACACCGAAGTCAAAAGGGGCTGCTATAAGGCCAAGGGGGTTAAGTTAAAGATGGTTCCTGGCAGGGACCACAGAATCCCCAAGCCTTCGTGCTTTGGGATCTCTCTAGGTTTTTGATCCCCAGATCCATGTTTCTAGCTCCAACTTGCAGACCCACTGGCACTGAAAACATTTCCACTGAGTTGTTCTACCACGACCTTCCATACGACACATCCAGGAACTCACCCCTTTCTCTCTCTCCACCCTAGACAGCCCCCCTTCACTTGCCTATTTGGTCAGAGTTACTGCTGTTTCCTGTTCTCTAAGCTAGAAATATTGGCATTGTAAGTCTTCCCTCTTCCATCTCCTTCCTTATTAGCTACCCAGTCCCCTCTGTTCCCTCCTCAGAACAACCAGCCTCTGAATCCTAGTGCATGTAAAGTATTCTCTACTGTGCAATGTTGGATTTGATAAGGCCAAGATTTTGTAAGTTTGCGACTCTAACTTTTCTTAACAACTTGCGTCTTGAATTACTTCTTGCAAAGATATTTGGTTCTCGGTCCGGATTTTAAACAGTTCAAGTCTGGGGAACCAAATTTCCCTTGAATGTTTTTCCTCTCCTCTTCCTCTCCCGGCCTCTCTCTGAGCCCTGCTCCCAGGGGAGCGTGGCAGGTGCTGGGCTCGTGCTGGGCTGTGGCGTAGCGTTGAGGCTGTCTCTGTTGCAGGGCATCGCTGCGGCATTCAGCATCGTGTCTGTGAGACATCTGAATATAGTCCTGGAGCAACTGCGAGTGTACAGTGCTGTGCTCACGGACAAGGAATCATCGTACATCCTCAGACTGGAGAAGGTGAGATCATTCCCAGGGGCTCTGCTGGTCTCCCACGCAGAGCTTGCAAGGCATCCCCATCACCCCAGCCTTGCGCTTCTCTGAGGCTTTGTGAATCACCTACAAATCCTCCTCTTTCCCTCTAACCAGCTGTGGGAGAGTTTCATCCTCCCCTCCCTTTCTCTTGCTCCCTCATGTCCACACTTCAGGCCCCGGTATCACCATCTACATGCCCCCCCCTCTCCCCATAAGCTGCTTACCATTCCACAGTCCCATCTTCTCTCCCACATCCTCTGGGCCACCTTTTACTCTCCCAACCTCTGTTTCCCTAGCAGGCAAGGAGGGTAAGATGAGGAGACGGCAAGTTTCCCCTCCCCCTTACAGGAACATCAGCAGAAGGAATGGGTGCAGACCTGTAACACCATCTACTTAAGCTATAGCAAGATTATGTCAGAGAGCAAAGGAGCCATCTTCACGCACGTGGATGACATCCTGGCCTTGGTCCTGCAACACTACCACGACTGCATTGTGGAAAAGGTACTTCCTGCTCACCCACTTCTCCAACGCCCCATCTTTCTCCCCCACACCAAGAAAAAGATGCCTGGCCTTGATCGGGAGTCGGGGTGGGGCCAGTGCAGTGACGTGCTCTCCCGCTTCAGTCCTTTCGCTTCACCCGCCTCTCTGAGACTGACTGGCTCGAGAAGGAGACCACAGTGGTTCTAGGCCTGTGGGAAGTGCCTCCTTCCCTGCTGGAATATGACATGCCTCCGGGCTCGTCACTGCCCTCTCTGATGAAGGATGAGTAAAACCTAAAATTCCCTAATAGTCATAGAAAGAAGCAGTCAGGGGAGGCAAAGGAAGCCCCGTACTGTTTTCCTGCCTTTGCTATTTGTCCAAAGCATGGGTCCCCGGGGTGGAGAAGAAGCCCTTTCCATTCCCAACGAGACATTCTTCAGGGGAACTTATTCAAGGGGAAGACAATACCTTGAGAGGCAAGGGAGCTCGAGCTATCCTGATTTAAGAGTTATATGAGGGGGCTCCAGAAGGGGGTAGGTGCGAGAGGTGGTCCTACCCCCGAAGGGATGCCCTGGGTCGCCCCCAGAAAGAAGGTGCAGAGCATCAGCCTAAAGAAGCTCCCGAAGGCTTAGCTCATGCCCAGACTTGGTGGGCATAGTGGGCCCTGGCCCTGGGGTCATGCCCCCCTTGGAGGTCTCTGAGCACACTGGTCCATTCAGGATAAGAACTTGAAGCTGGGTTACCTGAACGCCCTGACCATACTGACAAACATCCTGAACAGCCAGCAGTACGTGGCCTTCCACGTCAAGTTACCCCACAAACTAGCGATTGTAACTGTTATGGTGGTAAGTACCTCTCCGGAGGACGGAGGTGAGAGAGCAGGGAGGAGGGAGGATGGGTCCCCGTGGAAAGCGTGGGCAGCACTCCCAGGCCAGGCCTGAGGTCCACACCCAGATTGTCCAGGGCCCTTTTCCTGCCTTGATGTTCCCATTCCCCTCCTCAAACAGGGGTGGGCACTGCGGGGAAGGTGAAGTTGGGAGCAGGAGAGAGCTGCTGTTCTCAGAACCTCTGCAAGTCCCTAAAAATTCTAGATTCCACCTTCTTATGAACACAGCCTTGCGTGGGAGGAGGCAGAGGCAGGCAAGAAAAATATGTTCACCATCCTCTTTGTGTGTGTGTGTGTGTGTGTGTGTGTGTGTTAGGAGCTAATCAAGGAGGAGCCGCTGAACTCCCTCTCCAGCCCCATTAGACAGAAGGCAATGAACATCATCACTAACTTTAGGTAACTACGTGCCGTCCACTCTGTCTTCCTTGCTCTGTTTCTGTTTCAGCTCTTCATTCCCTATTCGATGCCCACCTCTTCTTCTCTTCCTCTGCTTCTAGCACAAGGGAGTAGTAGACATTTACTGGACAATATCTGCCACTTCTTTATGCCAAGATATTTTGGATGGGATCTTCGAAGCCCCTGGCAGAGACAACCTCTCCTGTCTCCACAGGCGCTTGCTGCCACTTCTGTCCCAGGCTTCCTTTGGCTCACAGGGCGTCCCGGACTAGGCCCCTCTCTCTCCAGCACGGATGCCCATTCCCTCAAAACCTCTGGGGGATCAACAAGTGGTATATCGTCCCCAGTGAGCGGTTCCCTTTCTTGCAGTAGTCATGCCTTTTCTCTTTCCCTTAGTTCCTTCCTTTCCACCTTCCCGGCTCTTTTCACCCTTTCTGACTGTTTCCTCCCTTTCCTCTTTGATCACCCTTTCATTTGATGTCCTCTTCTTTCTTGCTCCCACTTATCCCTCTGCTCCACCTTCTCTTTCCATACCTGTCTCAGCTGTTATTCCTGGCAACGCTGTCTGGTTACACTTCTCCTCCTCCCTGGATCTTAGGATGCTCACGCCCCTCTTAGAGATAGAAAAGAGAATAGAGCTGCTCCGAGCATGCTTCAAGAGTGTGCTCTGCCTGCCGCCCATAGACGTTTTGCAAAAGGAGGCATCTAGTCCCAAGGAGGCCCAGGACAATGTGGTAAGGAACTCTTTGCTGTTTATCTCTTTGGTTTTATTATTTTATTTATTTATTTATTTATTTATTTATTTATTTATTTACTTACTTACTTTATTTATTTATTTATGTAGTTAGTTAGTTAGTTAGTTAGTTAGTTAATTCTCACTCGAGGATACTTTTCCATTGATCATTAGAGAGAGTGGAAGGGAGGGAGGGAGAGAGAGAGAAACATCGATATGAGAGAGACACATCAATTGGTTTTCTCCTGCATGACCCTGACTGGGGATGGGGATTGAACCTGCAATCCAGGTACATGCCCTTGACTGGAATTGAACCTGTGACCCTTTGGTCCAAGGGCTGATGCTCTAACTACTAAGCCAAACTGGCCAGGGCTCTTTGGTTTTATTCTTTAAGAGGATGAGAAGTATAGGCTTGTCTGTTTTATATAAGAATCTTCTGCCTTCTTTTTTTTTTTTTTTTTCCTCGCCTGAGGACATTTTTCCATTTTTTGTTCAGATAGAGCGGGAGGGAGAGAGAGGAAGAGAGAGAGAGAGAGAAACATCAACGTGAAGGGACACATCGAGTGGCTGCCACCCGCACGACCAACCAGGGCCAGGGACAAACTGCAACCTCTTCTGCCTTCTTTAAAAAACAAAACAAAATCATTGCAAAAAAGCCTTCCTGTGAAGAAGGGGTTGCTAGGTCATGCAGTCTGAACCCTTCTCCTGAGATCTGCTTCCTTCTTCACCACATTGATTACTGCTGCCACCACTTTTACTTTCTGGCCCAAAGGCAGACACTCAAGCCTTCTCTTTATAACTGTTGTATGATTGAAACCAGAGTGGAAGATTTAAATATGATTTTACTAAAGGTAAGTAAATTCAGGGAGTCCCAGGTGCAAGAGATCTAAGTCTATTTCTTTATAGGACCCACAGTGTTTCCTTGAGATAGCAAAGAGGGATTCAATTTTTAATTTGTATTCATATATTTAATTCCTAGGAGTTCTTTCATGTTCTCTATTACTCCTTTATCTTAACTGGCTGTTCTTGTTTTATTAATACTATAGTCCCTTGAATATTTTTGAAGCTATTAATAAGAATTTTAAAAATACAGGTTTTTACTGTTAATTGAATTAGCTTGATTTTCTTTAAGGTCATTTGGTTAATCTTGGGGCTTTTCATCAGATGCCTGGTGAGGTTATTTTTTAGTTCATGCTTATGTTATGAAGGACTGGTCCATACAGAAAGGGCTGAGATGGATTTTCTCTGGTTGTATCCCCACAAGGCCTTCCTCAGTGTAAATCTGGTTAAGGTAAGGAAGGTATTTTGACAGGATTACCCTGTGTTTGGGGCAGGCTGGGAAGTCTAACTGTCTGGTAAGAATAACTTTATGCTGAGGTAGATTTCTTTTGAGTACTTTATTCCAGAGAAAGCTGTCTTTTTTTTCTTTTTTTAATCCTCACCCAAGGATATTTTCCCATTTATCTTCAGATAAAGAGTGAGAGGAATATAAATATATATATATATATCTGAGGGAGGGAGGGGGGGAGAGAGAGAGAGAGAGAGAGAGAGAGAGAGAGAGAAACATTGATGTGAGAGAGTGAGAGAGACACATTGATTACATTGATTGGTTGCCTCCTGCACGACCCCAACCAGGGCCAGGGATGAACTGCAACCAAGGTACATGCCCTTGACTGGAATCAAAGCCGCGACTCTTTGGTTTGCAGGCCGATTCTCTAACCACTGAACCAAACTAGCCAGGGCAGGAAAGCTGTCTTTCTTCCTCTTTCTCCCTGCTTTTCAGTTTTAGTGGGCCAGATCTATCACAAATGTTGCTTTGGTTCTCCCAGCAGGCCCCTACTTTTAGAAGTCCCCCTTGGAAGATCACCTACTTTCTTTATAAGGTTTTGGGCAAGGCTACTTGGCTCACTAGAGGGCGAGAGGGAGAAACCTACTGTCCTCACTTTTCTGAATCAGTTACCTGCAGACTGCCATGCTGGTCCTCTTCCCACCCTGGAGCACTAGTCCGTCCGTCATGGCCTGGCCGCTTCCCGAAGCTGCACCCACGGGGAGCAGAGTCCCAGATGAGCTCAGTTAGGGAGTGGGGATGCAGAGGGCGGGGTAGCTATGTTGCCAGGGAACTCCCCGACCACCACCAGGACAGACTGCACACCAGGACAGACATTTGTGCTCTAGTGAAAACGACAGAGGAATCTATTCTAGTGAATGACAGGCAGGTAGTGCTTGAAATGTGGAGGGAAGCTTTTGGAGCGGGTTTTCTCAAGGAAGGCGTCCTGGGAGAGCCGGAATGCTGAGCAGAGTTTAGGGGGAGGGTTGGGGCTGATAGCTTTGCAATTGTTTGAGTCCCTTTTACCCCTTCAGGATCTGTTTAAGGAGACCATGCAATCCCTCCAAGGGCTAATGGAGGCACTTATTGTTGAAATGCCCACCCGGATCCAGAACTGCTTGGAGGTAAGAGGGAAGAAGCCCCAGAAGGTGGTGTTTTCATTTCCTAGGGCTGCACAGAAAGGTACCACAACTGAGTGCCTTCAAACAACACAAATACAGTCTCTCACAGTTGTCGAGGATAGAAGTCCCAAATCAAGGGATAGGCAGGTTTGGTTCCTACTGGAGGCTCTGAAGGAGACTGTTCCATGTGTCTCTCCTGGCTTCTGGTGGTTCCTAGCAACCGTGGTACCTCTTGCTTTGTAGACATATCATTCCAGTCTCTGCCTCCATTCTTTTTACTCTGTGTGTGTGCATTTTTTCTCTTTTAATAAGGACAGCATTCATCGGGTTAGGACCCACCCAAATCTAGTATGAACTCACCTTAATTTGAATAATCTGTAAAGACCCTATTTCCAATCAAGGTCACATTTTGAGGTTTTGGGTGGACATGAATTTTGGGCGGACACTACCAACCCAGTACAGTTGGGGACAGACCAGGACAACAGTCTAGGGACAAACTAAGAGGTAGAACTGATGGTGAAGATCGGGTGCAGAGCTTTTAGGGAAAGGAAAATAAGGGCTAGGATCCAAGTAACTTTGGTCTTGTCTTTGGAGGAGAAAACGTCCTTCTTTCTTCTTCCTCTTCAGCCATCACTGTGACCAGCTCCTCTCTCAGCTCCCGCGGCTCCCTTACAGCAGTTAGAAGGTCAAAGTACGGACTCTGGACTTCCGTACACTACGGTTCCCGATTCTGGCTCTGCTGTTTGCAGTGTGGTCTTAGGAAGTCATTTAACTTCTGTTTGCTTCAATTTTCTCCTGGGAAATGGAATGATCTAGTAGCAGTTAATATAGTCATTTGGTAACTGAATGAGATGTTTACAAAGTACTTGGCTCAAAGAAGTGAGGCGTGGGTTCAAATAATTTGCCCATTTTAAATTGTTTGCTTTTTTATTGACTTGATTTACTCTATGCTAATGTCATTTTGATACTTGGGCCTTCTCCTGAAAATTCTATTCCCCGATTACCACAGGAAGTTTAAGATTTCTTTGCAGTTCCTGTTGTGATTAGAATATAAATCACTGAGGACTATAGTCAGAGTATTGTGCCCAAAAGTTACTTGAAATAATTTTTTCTGTATGATTATATTAGCTAATTGATATAATTTAGACTTATCTGTGTTAAATTTTAGGGTTTTCTCTTATTTAATATAAGAGCTTGATTATGTAGAGATTTACATAATTAAAAACTTAAAACCGCCTGGCCGGTGTGGCTCAGTGGTTGAGCATTGACCCATGCACCAAGAGGTTGTCAGTTCGATTCCCGGTCAGGGCACGTGCGCAGGCTGGGGGCCTGATCCCCAGTGAGGGGCATGCAGGAGGCGGCCAATTGATGTTCTCTCTCATTGATGTTTCTATATCTCTCTCTTTCCCTTCCTCTCTCTCTAATCAATAAAGAAAAAAAGTTTAAAAAACAGAACAAAAAAAACCTTAAAACCATGTAAAGTTTTACTCAGAGAATTCTTGCTCCCATCCTGATCCTCTTACTCTCATTCTCCCACTCATCCTCTGAAACAACCATTTTCATTAACTTCTGGTTTGTCTTTCCTGTTTTTTTTTTTTTTTACTGTAAAAATAAGGAAATCTCTGTGTATGAAATACTCTTATTTCCCTTCTGTTTTACACAGCAGTTCGCACATTCTATCCAGTGCTCTCTCTGCACCTTGCTTTTCCATTTATCTGCAATGGCTCACAGACATATTCCTCGTTTTTTTATTTTTTATACATTGTGTGCGTGTATTATAGTCTATTCAATCAGTTCTCTGTGGATGGACACTAAACTGTTACCAATAATTTTGCTGCTAGTTTTCTTCTTAACTTTTAAAGCTGAAAGGATTCTAGATTCACATGGAGTTGCAAAAAATACTACATAGAGCCCCTTAAATAGTACACTATCAAAACCAGAGAATTGAGGTTGACTATTATAAGACTACAGACTTTATTCAGTTTTCAACAGTTTTTACATGCACTCATTTGTGTGTGTCCTATGCAATTTGATCTTTTATATAGTTGTGTAACTACCACCACCATCCTGATATGGGATTCTCTTGTACTACCCCTTTGTATAGTCACACCTCCCCACCACCCCCTTGTCTCTATTCCCTGGCAACCATCGATCTGTTCTCTGTCTCTACAATTTTGTCATTTTGCAGATGTTGTATACATGGCATCATCTACTATGTAACCTTTTATGAAATTGGTTTCTTTCACTAAGCTTAATGGTCACAAGTCCTTTGCCAGACCTATAATTTACAAATGTTTTCATCTAATCTGTAGTTTGTCATTTTATTTTTTTCAAACTATAAGAAAAAGTTTATTTAGAAAGTCACAGAGGTAGAAGTGAGCCATAGAAGAAACAGGTTCAGGAAACAAGTAACAGAGACAAAAGAAGGGTCCCTAGAGTTTAAGAGAAAGAGACAGGCAAGGAAAATGCACCTGGTGGAAGGGAGGGGGGAAGATATGGGGGTGCCCCATAGATAGAGCTGCCTGTAATTTGTCTTTTCATTCTCTCTCTTTTTAAAAAATTTTATTTTTTCATCACCATTTATCCCCTCGATGCCCTCACCCACCTCCACCCACCTTCTTCCCCACCGCAATTACCACACTGTTGTCCATGTCCATGAGTTCTCCTCTCTCCTCTTTTCTTTTTTGCTCAATCCCTCCACCCCCACCAACACCCCCCTCCCCCTGTCAGCGTGCTCTCTATGGGTCTGTCTCTATTTTGCTTGGTAGTTCAGTTTGTTCATTAAATTCCACATATGAATGAAATCATACGGTACTTGTCTTTCTAATTGATAACTTTGCTGGGTAGAGTAATATTGGTTGTAGGTTTTTACTTTTCATCACTTTGAATATTTCTTACCATTCTGACCTGCAAATTTTCTGTTGAGAAATCAGCCAACAGTCTTACGGGAGCCCCCTTATAGGTAACTAACTGTTTTTCTCTTGATGCATTTAATATTTTCTCCTTGTCTTTAACCATTTGCATTTTAATTATGATGTGTCTTGGGGTGGGCCTCTCTGGGTTCATCTTATTTGGGACACTCTGCATTTTCTGGACTTGTATGTTAAGGAAGTTATTATATTTTCAAATAAGTTTCCAATTCCTTGCTCTCTCTCTTCTGCTACCCTTATGATACAAATGTTGGTACACTTGATGTCACAGAGACCCCTGTAAATTATCCTCGATTTTATTTATTTTTTGCTGTGTTATTTGGGTGTTATCTGCTCCCTTATCTTCCAAATTGCTGTTTTGATCCTCTGCTTCATCTACAATAGTGCTGATTCTCTGTAATGTATTCTTCATTTCAGTTAATGTATTCTTCACTTTTGACTGGTTCTTTTTTATGTTCTCTAGATCCATTTTTATGTTTCCTCTCTCTTTGTTGAATTTCTCATTAAGTTCCTCTATTCTTTCCTAAGTTCATTGAGCAGTCTTATAACCAGTGTTTTGAACTCTGCATCTGGCAGATTGCTTGGCCCCATTTTGTTTAGTTATTTTTCTGGAGGTTTGTTCTATTCTTTCATTTGTGATATGTTTCTTTGTCTCCCCCACTTTGGCTGCCTCCTTGTTTGTTTCTATGTATTAGGTAGAAGTGCTATATCTCCCAGTCTTGGTAGAGCGGCCTTATGTAGTATGTGTCCTGTATGGCCCAATAGCACAGTCTCCCTGATTATACGAGCTGGGCATTCAAGGTGTACCTCTCATGTGAGCTGTGTGTGCACTCTTGTTGTAGTTGAGCCTTGATTGCTGTTGGCACATCATGGCGGGGGATTTATCCCCAGGCCAATCAGCTGTGAGGATTGGCTGAAACTACAGCAGAAGAGCTGCTGTGCAGGGGCCAACCCTATTGAGCAGAATTCATTCAGCAGGGCTCTGGTGCCTGATAAATCTGACCTTTGAGTTTGTTACTTGTGGAGGTGGTTGTGTGGTACTCCAGTGTGGTTTGAAACTGTGTACCAGTTGGACTGGTTCTGGTGCCTCCTGAGTGGTGCAGTCCAAGGTTAGCTGCTGGCTGTACACTGCCAGCTGATACCTAGCATGAACTAGAAAGCAATCTGCAGCTAACTGCTACTTGTGCTGGGCTTGGAGCTCTGTGGGAGAGGCCAAACTATGAACCAAGGCTGGCTGCTGCTAGTGCTGGGCCTGGCGCCACTTAGCAAGAAGTATGGGGCATACCGAGGCCAGATGTTGCTTGTTTGGCATTTGTGAACCTTTGAGTGATTTTAGAAAAGTTTGCAGCATGAACCAAGACTGGCCGTTTGTATGGAAAAGCCACTGGAAATGGCTTGGGTGGGCCTGTAAGTTGGGTTCGGTGGGGTCTCAGGGAATCATTAGGGCGAAGTGAACAATGTCAGCTAGGTTGATGGAGGCTCAGATTGGCACCAGACTGCTGGCTCTGTCAGGGGAAGGCTCAGCAAGGGAATAATGGCCTCTGCCCAGCACTTCTATCTGGGAGAAAGCTGCTCCTTCAGCCCTCATCCCAAAGCCAGACAGTTCAGTTCCGCCTTGTATATTCTGGTGGCTCTCGAGCTGCTGCTCCAGCGCTGGAGCTCAGAGCCACTGAGTCCAAGTAAGTTCATTTGTGGGCCCTTTAAGAGGAATGCCTGGGGTTCCATCAGCTCTCCATCTCACTCAGCTACACTCCCTACTGGTCTTCACAGTCAGAAGTTATGAGGGCTTCTCTTCCCAGCACTGGAACCCTGGGCTGGAGAGCCTAGTGTGGGGCTGGGGCCCTTCATTCTTCAGGGGGGACCTCCACAGCCAAGATATCCGTCCTGAATTTTAACCAACACACGTGGATGTAGGACCTTCCTTTTCTGCATCTTTGCCCCTCCTACTAGTTTTGAAGTGGCTTCTTCTGTGTATCCCTAGTTATAGGACTTCTGTTCAGCTAGATTTCAGGTAGTTCTGAATGACAGTTGTTCTGTAGTCTAGTTGTCCCAATCAGCCTCCTATGGTGTGGT